GCAACGCACCTTTCTGCCCGTGCTCCATCGGTCTCCGCCGCACGCCTGGCGGCAGTCCTCTGACGAGCAGCAGCTCTCGCCCGGTCAAGCTGTGGGCTGCCTAGGGGCTCCCTCTCCCCGTGGCTTTGTCTGCGCCGCGAGTCTGTGTGCGTCTCTGCCTCACGGAGGGAGTTCGGGTCAATCGGCCCCAACGGACGTCTACTCATCATGCAATTGCCATGCCATGCAGGCCGCTGTGGCTGTGTCCGCTCTGCGCTGTTGGTGTGTCGCTGTGCCCGCTGAGCGCGTGTTGTCTGCTGTGCGTGTGTGTTCAGTCTGCTCGCTGAGCGCGTGTTGTCTGCTGTTGCTGTTTGCTGCTCTGCTGTGTAAAAAAAAAAAGTGCGCCCTGTAGTCACAAATCAAGTCCTGTACTCTAAAACCTAGTTTAAGCGAACACAACACACGCACGCACTTTTTTTCCTGCATCGGCCCCTATATTGCGCTGAGCCCTCTCAGGCAAGATTAGAAATCTCGCTTCGCTCGAATAATAATTTTGAAGCCCAACATGTCATCACAGGGTGTGTTATCTTGTGTCGTCTACGGTATGTATAGCAACAGATGTTGTATCTCCAACAACCTGTGCGTTGCCATGCCGTGTATTCTCCTGCTGTAACAATCGTCTCGATCGAACGGACCCAAGCCTTTCTGTGATTAATTGTGTTCATGTCATTGAACGGACATATTTTCGGTACACACGGACGGGTGTGCATCAAGGTGCGATATTGATTCCCAGAACGGCAGATGCCGACTACCCAGAGCTCGGTGCCTTATATCATTCAAGTATCTTGATGAACATCTTCCGTGCGTGAATACTCGATACCGAGACACAACACCTTCTATCCCTACCCGCGTCTCTATGCGCTCAACGCAGACCGTCGACCCCGACCACGTGTGGGAGACCACAGACCTCTCGGCGGGCATGGTGCGGAAGGAGGTCAAGTGCGCCCGATGCCATGCTCATCAGGGGCACGTGTTCAACGATGGGCCTCGACCAACGGGAAAGAGGTGCGTGCTCGTGAACCGGCAAACTGCAACATATGCACCCCGAGAGGACGTATGAACTACACAACGAAACGCCTGTGCGCGGGAAAAAACTAAGCGTACCTACCGTTCGATGCTCCCACCTCTGGTGTGTTTGTTCAACGACGGGCCTCGACCAACGGGAAAGAGGTGCGTGCTCGTGAACCGGCAACCTGCGGTCTATGTAACATATGCACCCCGAGAGGACGATGAACTACACAACGAAACGCCTGTGTGCGGGAAAAAACTAAGCGTACCTACCGTTCGATGCTCCCACATTTGCTGTGTTTGTACCGCCTGCGCGTGAGAGAATAGTGTTTGGGGTGACCCTCGAGCCTTACTGGTCACCCCAAAAACCTCGCACTCGTTGCGTTTGCCGAACGGCAGGGTTCTCTCGCGGTTGTAAATGATTCCTCCTTCAGGCAACGATTTCCTCGTCCCTTCCACGGGCGGACGTCTCAATTCACAGCACGTTTTTTGTTCAGTACTTGTTTTTCGAGCCATCGCGTACGTTCGGGTCGCGTGTGGGGCCTGATTTGTCTCCTGGTGTTGTAGTACGCCTCCTGTCAAACTGGGTTTGTGGATTGTTGATAGCATAATGATTTTGGTTTGATTTTCTAGGACCCCGTGCAGTCGAGGTGTCTCTCGTCACGTCGATATGCTGGCGTCAACAAGCAGTACTATCCAAAACCATTCCGTTAAGTTTATCTGACAGTGTAAGGGCCTGATGCCGACCTATGTTGATGTTCACTGATTTTGAAAACAATCGCTAGAGCACCAGAAAATGCTCACGATACATGCAAAAGACCAATCTGAAGGCATCGGGAAAAGCAGAAATCAGAAATCGTTGATTCTCGAATACGGCGGCAGTAGAGGCTGTTTGAAACATGAGTATCATGCAGTCTACCTCCACGCGCCTCATAAAAAATCAAGATAAAAATTCTCAATATTCTGAATAAAAGTCAAAAGAGCCAGAACGGCAGCCGCTCAGATAATAAGGCCAGTTTATCATGCTAACTGCACCTGAGCACATAAATCAGTAGAGGTCACCATGAAGAGACATCGTGTGTGCTGGTACGTTCAGGTTTGCTACTGGAGCGGGTTACAATCTTCGCAAATTTGGCCAAATGAGTGCACTAGCTACTGCTGACGACCCGCCGTTCCGGGGTTTACGGTCCGTGGCGGCGAGCATTATTATTAATAATGTGCCACCGTAATAGCAGCACATAGACACAGGGTCGGTCTAATTTGTCCAAATTTGCGGAGATTGTAGGCCGCTCCTACGACCTTCGATGTTTCAGCTCCAGCAGCAAACCTGAACGTGCCAGCAAAAACGGCGCCTCTCCATGGTGTCCTCTACTGATTGAAGTTCTCAGGTGTAGTTACACGGCGGGAAGTTTTTTTTTGGTATTTTGGATAAAGTATGGAAATAGAGCCAATTTCAGGAGGGTCTGGCATCAGTCCCTGAAGACCTACAATTGGCAAATGAGCTTTAATCAAGCCCCAACCCCTACCCAACCTTGCCTCGAAACTGGGCACGCAATCATGGTCCCTCACGATCACTTGCCCATCATGCACACCCAAGAAGGACTATCACACTAACTACACAATGTCAGGTGATTAGAGCGATACCGCGATCTGTACTCTCCGACTCGGTGCCCTTGTCCCTGTTTCGAGGGGTCCCCCCTAGCTAGCTGTTGTTTTGCGCGTTCTCTGGTTTGGTCTGACACACAAATGTTGTCATTGCGTTGCCTAAACGTCGTCTCTTCTCATGTTGTCCCTGCTCCCCCTTCCGAAGGTATTGCGTCAACGCAGCATCCTTGACTTTCAAGGCGGCTCACGCCCAAGATCGGGTGCCGTCGGGTGGCATCGGGTTCGTAGATATGTTGTCGAGGCACCTCCGCATGCGCACGAAGAACAAAGGCGGCAGAGAGGGGGCGGAAGGGAAGGAACAACCCTCTGCGCCGTCAGCCCCGCCGACGGTCGCGTGATGTGACGTGACGAGACGTGATGTGATGTGATGTGATGTGATGTTTTGTGGTTTTAGGCTCACCTCGCCTTTTCATATCGCGTCGGGTAGGGTGGAGTGTGAATGCGTCGTCATCAGCAGTCAACCGACCGCTTAGCCAGAGTTGCGTTAGTTGTATTGATTTGCGTGTGCTACAGTACTCCGGAAATGTGGCCCATTCAGGGTTCTCATGTATTGTACTTCCACCGGTGTTTGGTACGCATGGCGTCATGAAAGACTGCGGCGCGAAAGCCCTAGGGTATCGAGCCACTTTGCTCCACAGCTTGATTATTCGGCGCCGCGGAAAATTTATGTTCATGTCCTTATTACTCAAGGTGGGCTTTTCGGGGATCAGCAGGGAAGGTCTTTTGTAAGATGTGAGGCCCACTGAAGAAAAAGAAAAAGACGTGTGTCGGTATTGCGTGTGATTTCGAAGCAAGCACCGGTACACTGCTGTTCGTTTGTGTCCAGAGAGTAGCTGCTGTACCCCGTTGGAACAGTCGGGGACGCACCTTGATCCTTCATCTACCTGGAACATGGGGCGGAAAGCACCTTTGTGTTGAAAATGAGTCAGCCGTTGGGATGTTTGCTATGTCGACTGTTTTTGTGTTGGGGGTGACAGGTTGAAGGGTGTCTTGTGTCCTTCCTATGTTCCGTCTGGGACAATTTTTCCATTCGCGTTTTGTGCGATAACTTTTGTACAAAAAAAGAGTTGGATTATGCAGTAACGATATTCGTGATCGCCTCGTCGAGCTACGTCGATATCTGCAGAGTTTTTTTATTGTGAGAAATTGCTACATTTTTGGCCAAAATGATTCACGGAACCCCCAGACGTACATGGTACCCCCATTCATACCACGGGACCCCCTAATCATGCCACGAAACCCCCAATTACGCCACGGAACCCCCTCACACCACAGAAACCCCAGTGCTTTCAAGCTCTGCACCAATTGTAACTGCTCATGCAAATCACATGCATATATATGCATACGTATGCATAAGTAGGGCGTAGGGGCCTGGGTTGCGCCCTCGCACAAGGGGTATGTGTGTGGTGTGTGGCAGGAAAGCAAATGCCCCCAGCAGCAAAACAAAACACGGAATATCTCGCGAACCAGATTTTTATTTGAAAATCGGAAAAGTTTTCCGTCTTCGAGACTACGAGAGGAATCGATTGCCGTGGTCATGTTCACGTGCCGTGATTGTTATTAGAGAACCATTGCGACGCAACTGATCTCTAATATCCAGTTTTTCGCCGAAACTTGTTGTATTTTTCCTCAAATCAAATTCGGAATTTTTTTCCGTCTCGATTTCCGAGAGCTATCCAAATCCGGTCTCAGAATTGTGTTCTGAGAAATAGACAACCCGAGGTCATTGCGAACGATATTTTCCGGTCATGTGCAAATCAATGCAAGACGAACGAGAACAAAAAAAAAAAAACTACACAGGCACACGCGCCTGGAGACAGGGCGTTTGCCGGTACTTTCGGTTTTCGGAACAACCCCCCCACCTCCGAGAAAAGTTGTGCAGGTCGGAATTATGGAAAGTTGTCCCCCGACGGACCATGCGTTGAGTGAGAATATGATGTGCATGTATTGTCAGGGTTGTGTCGTAAAGTCACACGTTATTGAAACGTTGGAAGCACTGGGATTGGCGTTGTCAATCCCCAGATGTTTTTTTGGTTGTTTGGCGCCGTTTGTCGATCGAACGGGGCGGGCCTCCGCGCAGGTCGCACAAATTGTCGATGCTTACGGAGCAGGTAGTAGTAGCTGTTACGAAGAAAGTGACATGAATACCGTGTTGGGTGGTTGTTGTGTAGGTGTTGCCAGGGTGGTGGCACTGATGACACTGCTGTTTCCCTGGGGATGCTTTCTTTCGTAGCGCGAAGAGTAGGAAGAGTATGGCGACGTTTCGTATACATACTTGTCTACTTTAGCCTGCAAAAATCGAGACTGGAGTTCATTTACTCGTCATACCGAGCACGATATTGGTATGTACCGCGCGGTAAAAGCAAGAACGATCCATCCATCCATGTGGTTCCAAAGTTAGTTGAGAGAGGGCGATTGCACGACTGCTACTACACGGTAGAACGCGCCACCAACGAACCTCTTTTTGTGATCGAGGCTCGCTCCCTACGTCCATCGCGGGGAAACCAACGCGCACCAGAGAGTTCTCACTTTTTCCTGTGGGTCTCTATGGATATAGTCTACATATATTCCCGTCCGTCCTGATGATGGTATCTTCTGTCAAAGATCCCAACAGCATATGACATAGCCGCACAGCAGTATCGTGTGCATCTCTCATCTTGCAGCGTTTGGCTGACTCCCGATTTATTTTCGTGTTTTCACACATGCAGCTGTGGCCACCTACTATACAGCATCTCAGTCACTACACGAACGATACACACAGGCAACGCGAGGCAGAGGGGTGGGTCAAAAATTAATGAAACATCGAGGTCGGATTACCGATCGTGCGAAGGGATCTTTAGGGGGTTCGGGGGTGGGGTTTCCGGAGGGTTCGGAAATCATGCCGTGCTGTCGGCGCGCGCGCGCCTCAGTTCTTGCTTGACGGTTTGGAGGTACACCTTATTTGCGGACTGAGCCAGAGCTGTGCAGACTTGCAGAGCCTGCCTGTTCGTGTGTTATGTGGAGTAGTTTCTGCGCGCACAGGAGACTCATGGTGTGCAGGGAAGGAGAAGAATACCGCGAAACCGTACAAAAGCAGTCAATACAAAGAGCGCGTCCTGCTCGTGCTCTGAACAATTTGTATGTGCGCGCCTGCCGTTAACTNCGGCGCGCGCGCGCCTCAGTTCTTGCTTGACGGTTTGGAGGTACACCTTATTTGCGGACTGAGCCAGAGCTGTGCAGACTTGCAGAGCCTGCCTGTTCGTGTGTTATGTGGAGTAGTTTCTGCGCGCACAGGAGACTCATGGTGTGCAGGGAAGGAGAAGAATACCGCGAAACCGTACAAAAGCAGTCAATACAAAGAGCGCGTCCTGCTCGTGCTCTGAACAATTTGTATGTGCGCGCCTGCCGTTAACTAAGGCGTGCTCGCGTGTACTGCTCATGTACGAAGAGCGTGGAATATCTAGCTGCATCTAGGTGCATGTAGGTCTAGGCTTACTTTGCACAGCTTCGAGATGACCGGAACCGCTGACTGTGTTGACACACAAGAAAAAAAACGATTGCCACTCAACGGCCGCATCAATCAGCATCCAGATCTGCAGCAGTATCTATGTGCTTGCTGCTCTGTGCTGCTTCCATCTGCCGTATCTTGATATTTTTCCGACGTCCAACGACAGGCAACAACAAAGCAATACGACATCTGAAGAAGAGCGTTTGCCCCAAAGTCATCCTTTAACGTGTCGAAAACCTACCCATCTCTGGCTCAGGTTAAGCCCGAAGCTACGCTCATGTAGGTACCGTAGGTGACACAAGATATCATACCCCCTGGACCAATTTTCCAAGCTCGATATTTACACAGCAGAAGAGTGGCAGCGCCGGAAACGGCGGCGTTGAAACCGTCTTGTCGAGAGCTTTCTGAAACAGTCGTTTCATGCACGCAACCTTTTCGTCGTGGATAAATCGAGCCTTGAAAATCGGTCCAGGGGGTATGGTATCTTGTGTCACCTACGGTATAGTCTAGGCAGGTGTAGGTCACTGCTTACATTTACAGGCACACATCGCAGATGATCTGCTGCCCGACTTATAGGTTGCAAATGGTAGATACTATATTCAACAGCTTCCCATGTCGAACTACCGAGAAAACCCAAGAGATTTTGCGCAAGGTTGTAGTTGATGAGATATTTCCAGGTGTGAGCGAGTCGTGTCACGTAAGCAAACCGTGTTTTCTCTACCTCTACTTTAAGTTGGTTGAAGGGGCAGTTGCAGGAGGAGAGAGGAGACAGAGAAGAGAGAGGAGAGAGGCAGCCGAGATAGTCTGGCCGATAGCCCGTTCTTCAACTTTGGGTTACAAGGGGGGAACGGAAAGAAAAGACTGCGAGGAAAAAAACAGCGCGAAAAACATGCAAGTGAACATCGTGGTTACGGCAACACTACCTTCAATGTAGTGAAAGGTCACCTTGTAGTAGCATAGGTGGGGTAGCATTTTATGTGGGGCGTATTCTGTCCAGCGGTAGGCACATGCGTGTTGGACTTGATTAGACCCCATCGCATGCCCAAACCGTAGCAATTACTAACTGCACGAGCTGGTCATTGGACATCTCGAAGCAGCACGCACGTACGTACCACAAGTTCGGGACGAAATGGTATTAAATGCCAAAAGGCAACCTCAAGATGATTGCCAAGTCGGCTAGTGGGCATCAGACAACTTTCGTGGACAGAATACAAAATAATTCTACCCTCATCTGGATGCGACGCAATGGGCAGAAGGCAATGGTAGGTCTGCCAACCAATCTTGTTTTCGATTCAGGATCAAGAAAGTGTTTTCGACAACTCACTACTTTCATATCTGGGAACAAGTCTGGTTGTCCTTGGAGACGCAAAGATACATCGTGCTGCTTATTATGGAAAAACAAAAAAACAGTGAGCATTCGATAGTACTGGAGGTGCTGTGAAAGGCTGAAAAAAATAGTTCTTAAAGCATCCCTATGGTAAGCAAAATCAATCTGTGGATCCCCCAAAAGGAAAACCAGTGCATTTAACCCCCCACTGCCCCCAACCGTGCAACTACATACTCCTACACAGCCAACGACACCCCATCAACCGAAAAAGGAGGGGGGG